TGCTTGGAATAATTACTTAAAATAATGACTTAAAATATGTAAAAGTTTAATTATATTATATTTACTTAATAAATTTCAATTTTAGTTTTAGTTTTGCTTAATAAAAATTATACTTATTTGGTAAGTATAAAACATATAAAAATAAATAAAAATATAATATTGATAATTATAATTGTAAATAAAAAATAAAATATAAATACATATAAACTACAACTATATAAACAATATAATTTACAACAAAATAAAAAAATTGCTTTTACTTGAAATTCTTCATATTTCCTACAAAACAAAAAACAAAATATATATAAATATAAAAGAAAATTGAAAAATGTAATAAAATAAACATATATATGAAAAGTTTTAAAGTTCACCAAACATAACCTAGAAAAAAAAAATCAAGAAGCTGCTGTTCGGGGCATATACAGACCGATACCGGTCCGTATATACTTATATCGACCGATTACAATCTGTATAAGTATATACGGACCGATATTGGTCCGAAAATATATTTGAAAAAAAAAATAAAAGCTATAAAAAATAATTTAATTCGATATTCCTTACATAATTTTATGATATTGAATTATTTTCATATAACATGCTAGAAATTTTTTAAAATTTAGTATAAATATATAAGTCTCCAATATCTATTACAAATATAAAGTCAATACAAATATTTAATTAAAATATGAAAAACCTAAATATCTTGAGGTGTCATAGGGGTGACTGTCCCACTGGTATCCGCTGGGGTTATCCCTAAATGCTGGTAGAGTTGCTGCATCTGTGTCGTAAGGGTCAACTGTTACTGCTGTAAGCTATCATTATCTGCTAAAAGGGCCATTTGTGTTTGTCGAAGGCTATGATTATCTGCCTTCAATGATTCAATAGTTTGCTCTAATTCGATAGTCCTATTAGACTGTCCTATAATAGGTGGCCTGAATGGTTCTCGTCTAGATGTACTCACACCTATATCCTGTGGATGTGTGTGAATATCCAAATCTTTCAACCATCCTTTCTTGACCCCACCAATTGCCCTAAGTAATATCTCACCATGAGGTATTGTAGGGTCAAATCCTTCTTCTTTTTGTCTAGTAGCATATTCAACTGTCAATTTTTCCTGAAATAATATAAGACAAAATAAATAATTAATTGTATTGAAAATTAAAGTGAAATTAAAAATATCACTTTAGGCACCTAAATTCAATTTACTCTCCCCTAAAAGGATGGAGTTCTAACTTTTTACCAATAACTATATTGTACAATAGTTTAAATATTATAACTAAAATAATTTCAATTAATTCATGACACAATTTAAAATAAAATTGTTAAGTTAAATACTTACTCCAATT